AAGAAATCTGTAGCTAAGCTCAGCATTTGCCTTGGTGAATCCATCAAGTAAGGATATAAGTGGACAGGTGATGCGTAGTCAGTCGACCACCAAATTCTTATTTCGACTGGCTGCGTTGCGAATGCCGTGTGTGAAGGTAAGTGCATTGATCTCGCACACGATTAGTCAACTGCGCTTAGACCACTCAATGGCCCACGTTCTCACTTCTAGTGCGTCAACGTCGGTTTTTCACATGACGCTTACTTAAAGTTAGCCGGCCAGTTATGCACAGGGCCTACATGTTGGACCGAACTGGATACTTCCGTTACTCTACGGTTGGACTTGATTTCGTTTGGTAATCCTAAGCTGGAGATGGTGGCAATTCGAGTCGCCGATGGCTAAGCGATTTGTACATCAACAATCGGGAATTTCTAAATTAAGAAGTCCACCTCACAACATTGACTCAATGGGAAACTACCTTAATGCACAAAATTGGCACTCTTGTCCCACCTGGTTACAAGAGAAACGCTGATGATGCTGTGAAAATCAAAGCACAGTACCACGATCTCGGACACAAGAGTCAGCGATGTTTCGATAGTCTATCGCTGTACATGAAACGCAAATCGAAAATGCGGAGTGAACCGCGACACATGCATACATCACGCTACAACATTAACAAAACGTGAGAACAGCCGAATCCTCACTGACAGTCTAAAGATGCGCATATGATCAAACCAAGCCAACTTATTTCGAAGAATGAATTCACGTCCTAGAACTAATTGTTAGTGGTCATGATGAACAATTACAAGACTTGGAACCTTCAATTACAATAGCAAAGTTTTTGCAGCTCATGTGGTTTTAGTTTGTTCTCTGGGCTGGGCAACTGCCCTGCGGACGTTTTATCACCAGTCGAGGCGAATTTCTCTTCAGTGCATTAGAACATAGAAAGCGATCTCAATAAGTTAGTTCGTTGGCCCTTGATCGACGGGGAGGTGACAACGTCGGGAACTTGACTTCTCCGATTGCAGGTTCGGGTCCTGCCAGGGTCGCCATACGAAGACCGATGTAAGAAACTAGGGTTATACACCCTATCTTATCGTCGGCTGAGAGTTGACCTCATCATGACGCACCGAATGTTACATCTGGGTGATTACCCCATGTTGAGACAACTACTTCATCTGCGCACACCAAGCTGCACGCGAGGACACCGGTAGAAACTTATCGTCCCGGATTTGAAGCGGGTCGCCCATCAACTCTGTTTCGAACGCAGAGTGGTCAATGTCTGGAACGACCTGCCTCAGCATATAGTAGAAGCGAACACAGTGTCTAAATTCAAGATGCTACTAGACCAACAATTTGCAGAGGCAAAGTACAAAGAGCGAAACGATAAATAAAAGTTCATGTCCGAAAACGACGAATGATGCAGCTACACAGAGAAACCTCTACTCGCTGCTTCGCACCAGTTCTCAGTTCTCAGTTCTCATGTCTGTGACCATTGCTCAATCGTTGTTTCGTCGCCGCCTCTTTCTATATCAGGTTTTCGTTTATGATCCATCCAATTTCTTTCTTTCACAGTTTTTCTACTGGAGTTATTTCAACGCGCAGGCTTAGTTAGTTCTGTGTAGAGAACTACGCCTCTATAAATTATTTTTCTTCTGGCCCCTCCCATAGGCGGAACGTCCGTTTTGTCCCAGTCAAAATTGTGTCCCTCCTCATCAACCTGCGCCGGAAACAGTGATAATGCGTACCGGTTTCCGCAGGCTCGGGAAGAAGTGCCATGTTCAGAAAATATGGCTCGAGTCATGACTCGAGCACAACCGCTGAACACAAGGATTCACCAATGAGATCGAGACAAAATTAATAGCCGTGTATGCCTATATAAGGAACGGAGTGGTTACTGACAGTATCCATCATTGTGTTTGCTTTCTGCCAGCTACTGCTACTTCACTGCTATCAACCCAGCACTGAAGATGCCACCTCGAATGGTGGCGAAACGTCTGCAACCAAGTTGCCCAACTCGGAGAACTCCACAACAACTGAGCAAGCCTCCCGAGCTACCAATATTCCAATTCGTTTTGAGTGGTTCTCCGAACTAAGTAATTTAATGGCAAATGTTCCACCACTTCGCTCAGTGGCATCTTCAGTGCATGGTTGTGTAAAGGAATCTTTACGTGAGATTATCCTCTACGCAGTCGTGCAATGAAGATGCTACGGAGCGAAGTGGTAAAACGTTTGCCATTAACTTACTCAGCTCAGAGAAACAAACACAACTTTTATTACCAACCCGAGCTACAGGTATTACGAATTAGCGCTGACGTTCTCAGTTGAGTCCCCTATCAGAAGCTCATTGCTAAGAAAATCACACAATAACCCACAAATTCAATTCATTATTTAAAGGAGAGATGGTGTCACGTTAACAAGCATACGTGAAGACTGGCAGAGATTAGTACTAACAATGGCTTGGGGTCAGAAACCACATCTATGGAATGTTTTTTTCACAATAGGATGACTGAAATCGGCCTCCAAAGCAGATGTTTAACACGGGAAGCACAGATTGCAGTCCCTAACAGATTACGGTTACATTACCTTGACGAGCTTCGTGACATTTTCAAAGTTGTTAAAATGTAGTTAGACCATGAGATCGTGCAAGAAATTGGAATTTGCAGGCATTATCAAGAAAATCGAAACCCAATCCACGTGTGACAAACCATCCTTGGAAGCAGCTAGCAATGGCATGGAAAGGAGTCTACATGTACTTCGTTGATCCTTTTGGAAGTTGAATGACTGTAATGAGCTATGATACCCATTCTAAACGAACCGATGCTCCCATCCTAGAAGCAGCAAAATCAGCTAACACAATAATCAAAAAAGTGGTTCTGCTACCATTGATCGCTATGGAATACTAATGTCCAACAACCATGATCAAAGTTTTTTGCTTTTCTTATATAGAAAGGGTTTGAACGCACAACTGCAGCACCTTAGCATCCATCTTCAAACGGCTTGGTAGAGGCGGTAGTGAAAACAGTGAAAAGTATGTTAATAAAAACGAGTGCTCTTGAACTGTGCTTATTTGCCTCTTGGAAGTTTGGCGAACGAAATCATCGGAAAAGATTCCGTGGAGCCAATGTTTGGTCATCACTTACCTATAAGATTAAATTTGTTGCACTGAACACATAAAACAAAATGAGCGGAAGAACATTTTGATGATTTCACCAGAAACAGGCTTGTAAGATTCACACCCTATCTGTGTAGGTTTGCCCACGGACTCCGGATAGAGGCCAATCAACGGAGACAGAAATTGATGACGAAAAGACCGCACGACGCCACCCGAAATCACATGAGACTAACATCTGACCGGTCGATGTGCATGGGATATCATGCATGTAGTCGTATTCCTTAAGCCCAGCATACCGACCAGTGGATCGTCAGCAGGTTGAACAGTATACTGCAACGGAAGAGGAGAGGGACTACGACATCCAGTTGAAAACGCAGTCTGCTCTTTAATCCAGCTAACTGCATTGCTCATTAGGTGTCCGTATGCGCGCCATCACGAACGTGATTCGCTAGTCCGGAGTAACCACACATGTTCTCATCTCACCCCAATGACCCAAAGACTAGCTTTCAATATATCGCCATTGTGATAAACCGATTGGCTGTTCTGTGATTATTATAAATGATGGTGTCCCGACTCCGATTTGCCAGCCAGGCACTTTGGAGATGCAAAGCGTAGGCCGAAGCGCACATCGTCCTGCGGCAGTCTATTCAGAAGCGCCTGTATATTAGGATGATACAACGTATTATAAGCCTACCAGTCTGTCAATCAGTAGAACCTACACCTGAGGCTACGGTAGGGGTAAGATCAATTGTGACAACTTTCGATCAAAGTTAAAGGGAACATAGAGAAAGTGACAAACTCAGGAGACAGCTTGCCGTATATTGCTACTCGTCCTCGGGATTCGAGATATTGATTTCCTTGGCAAGAGCTTCAAGGATAGACAGAGTCATGGGCTAGTGCGATGGACCGCCTAAAATAACCATTAGCTGTGTGTGCGATTAAATAGGATGTAGAAAAGAAAGACATCCTCTCAAAATTTCAGTCTTCCGACACTCAGCTGCGACAGTCTGAGTCGAAGGGAAAGTTTTCGGTGCTGCATTACAAGATCAGGGTTTCGCTTTTTTTCGAACACCTTGAGTAGAGATAGCCGTATCCGGGGAATGGAATCCTGGAGGTAGTGGTGATTGACGGCCAAAGCTCCAATCACTGGTCCATTGCGCTCCGCGAGCAACGCTTGACACAGCGGTTAAAAGTTCACTGTTCGGATTTGGAGCACTCGCTATGTGTTCGGACTGAGAGAATCTCAATTTAGACCAAGTCAAGATTACGACGCTAGATGCGCAGTAGAAAAAGTTCGCCTTATCGACAAAGAAAATTACCTAAGGAAAACTACCATAGTGGAGGATCGATGGCTAAGAGTTACCGGAAGGAAGAGCATCCAATATGGATCAAAAGAAAATGAAAGTAACCGCGCTATATTATTAATCGCTACGCTGAGAAACAGCACAAAGCTGAGAGGCAAAAGGTGATAACTCGTGCAATTTACAAACGGTAATGCGCTACAGTATGTTGTGAGAAGGAAAGCTATGATGTTGAAAGGAGCTGGCGTTTGTGGTTAAGCAACAGGCTAACTAAGCGTGAAACGCCCAAGTGTAACAGAGTTAACTGTTGAACCAACAATGCCGGTAAAATGGCTTACTGACGGGATGCAAAGGAAGCTGTCCACTTCCTGTTGGCTGAACATGTCACGAACTGCACAAACTCTTGTGAGATGATAGAAAGAAAAAAGTTGCAGAGAAGAAAGTGGGAAACCAGGCGGATAGTGGCAGAATTCCCCAACCAAGATCACTAAATAAAAGAACTGTGCAAGTGGCATGATTTTGCGAAACGGAAGAAGAAAAAAGGAGGCAAAACGTTAAAACAAACTAGTCAACATGTCAAAATACATTAAGAGTTTAAAACTCACTTTTCTCCGTAAAGTTTTTCGGTTCCGCATGAGTGGGGGAAGCGGAAGTGACGGAAGTTCCATGTGCTGCTAATTCAGGAGCACCTGTAGATGAAACAGTAAGGAACAGAAAGATGATAGGAGGAAGACTGCGAAGAGGGACAGTGCTCGTTACAGCGTTGATGTCTATCAGCATCAACAACAATAACACTATCGTTGTCATCATTCGCAGCAACAACAGACAATGCAGTATAATGCGTAGAACGATATCGGTGAGATAGTGTACTGATGGCTTTTACTGATCCACGTTATAATTCACCAGATTCAACAGTGTCAAGCAGCTGTAAGCGAAGTTTGACTACAAGATAATAATAAAGACGTCGCTAGTGGCATTGTGAGCCAATTCTTGTGAAATACCGAGCCTAGATAGCGTGGATTGTAGTCTGGAAGACAAGATGAACCAACGATCTCCCGAAATGTCCGGTGATTAAATAACTCGCCATCAGGTCGACAGCTGCTTACTCCGATCTTTACGCCACATTCAACATAGGCTGAACAAAGCAAAGCTCCTGTTGCTTTGTGGTGAACTGGTGAATGTGAGAACCAAAACAAATTATTCACTGGTTTCTGCTGTTATATGTTGGTCACTGCCACTGATTACTTAATACGCATAAAACTAACAGTTTCCGAAAATTCGCTTACGAGGTAATGAACCTTACTTACTAAAACACTACCCATCCGCAAGTCGCTTCATCCAGTCACGCCTGACTTCTTCGGACGCTGATTCTTCCATCTTTACACCTGTATATTAAGTTGTTGATTGGGTTCACAACTCGACTGGCGTCATGCACTGTCTCTGACGGCAGCACAGCACAAGCCGGTTCTCATTGGTTTACTAGTGCCCGTCTCAAGCTAAGCAGCTCCTGGTCAAATTGGTGCGAACCAGCCAGCTGCCACTTGCGGCGGGCCGTGGTCGTAGATATGTGACGCACTACGATGGAAAAACATCTGTGAATAGTTTTAAATTTCTAAGTTTGCGTGTGGCAGATCTCAAACCCATCCCAACGGGTCACTGAAATTACACTCCCAAGCTACTTGCCTCCCACCCCACGGCCATGGGGGTTAGGCAATTGAACCAAAGGCAAGAGGGGTATGGCACCTCGAACAAAACCATCCACTCGGAATGAACAGCGGGAGAGTATCATGTACGCTCTCGACCCTATCGAAAATAACCCCAAGTTTTTTTCCCCTCCCGACTCCCTTCTTCCCAGTATGTTGAGTAAGACAAAGCCGCTGAACTCGTAGCTGGTGTCATCCAGATAGGTAGCTGTTGCATCAAACCAAGTCTCATTTCACATCGGTTCTTCCAATGTCCGCACCCTGGGTCATATTGGCCAAAAGACAGCACTAGCTCTCACACTTCACACTCTCGATATTAATGTGTGTTGTCCCTAAGAGGTACGGATACAGCAATCTTCGACTCCGTCATTCCAAATCCGTTGACAATGACTACAATCTTAGCGTCTTTGACGACATCAGTAAATTAGCCATTTGAACCGATACGCGGCTGTCATACAACCAAATGATCTACAGAACGAAGAGGGTGCGAATGGGGCCTAACATAAAATCTTAGTGCCCAAAACAAACATTAAGGGACAAGGCGTCTAGACCTTGTTCACAACAGCTCAGTCGTGCAAAGATAAGGCGGCATCGGCGATACAGCTTCCTTGCCGCTTTCACTGCCCCGCGTCATAATCAGCCACTATCTCGAGGATAACTCAGCACCAAACACACTTTAAACAGATAATCCGACTAGGAGACGACAGCAGACGCGCCACTGCTGCTGGCTGCGAGCCATAGCACGTAACGTATCGAGCCAAGCACAAGGCGAGTCATGTCGACTATAACCTGGAAGGCGAGACGGACCGACGGCACTTAGTTTGGCCGTCAGTGAAATCATTTCCCGCTGTCAAATCAACTTTTGTTCACCTCGGACCTTGCGCCACTCTACATCTGGCAGACTAAACAAGCCCTCCTAGGTAAGCGGTGACCAGGTGTTGTGTTGGACGCTGGTAGAGTAGAGCCTAGGACAATCCCCAGCAATGAAGAACAGGGCAAGTAGACGAAGAACCAGAGTTTATTCTGAGAACAGAACGTGAACAAACGCGGATGAAAGAATTCACACTGTACAGCCTGTACTAGCCGAATGCGAGTTCGATCGTGGGTTCTGATTGCAAATCAACACCGGTCTCTTGATCGATATCGTTCCGGTGCGTTAGGCATAAGCCGAGTTGATCTTGGGTTCAGCTCGTTCGGGTTTTTGGGCAGCTGGTTGAGTGAACGCAATTCACGTGCTCCTCTGGATTGCGCGCAAGAAACCGTACACTCCTAACACCTTCCCTCTTGTTCGAGGTGTGAACTCCGTATTGGATCAAGCTGCAACGGAATTACTGGCTTACGCGTACGGCTAGATTTGCGCCTTTTCTGGAGCATGTCATCTGTCGTCGGGTCTAGTTTACATGCCGTTCTGGCTTTAGTAGGCCTTTCCATTTCGAACGCATCCAATAGAAGATAAAGACTGAGAGATCCATCGCCGCTCTGTGGATCCCGACAAAAGGTTCGACGGAGTTGGTTAACGTGGCGCCTCCACAGCAACGGACCCACCTGGACGTCGTACAAAGCACGTCCACTACGTCCTTTAGTGATGCTGACAGCCAACTTTTGATGACTACAGCCATAGTCTCTAACTAACACACGATCTCCCCGTCGCAACATACGCTTTACTTGCATCACAACCGACTGCTGGCTCAATGCTGGTCGGATAACATCGTGTGGCAGACGTAATTTCTGTTTATCAAAGCTTCGGCGGAACAGCCGTTCGGACTTTGCGGATTTGTAGTGATTCCATAGGTTTGCAGGGATGTACCCAGTATTCTCACCGTCGTTCGCACCCCCTGGATTTCCGTTGGGCATTTGTCTCAGATAGATTAGATTCTTACAGGATATGGATAGGTGTTGATGAACAGGACTTGCTGATTGGCATATCGGAAAGTGCCAAAAAATCAATCCAGTCAATACCGAGAATGTTGAGCTCACTACCAACTATGTAACTGGTACCATGATTGCGTTTGCCTGAAATTGCCAGCTCACAATACAAATTACCAAGCAATTTGATTTTACAGTAGGATGCATTTCTGGCCGTGCTATTAGTCAGGAAATATCCTGGCGAACCCAATTTCTTCCAAGTACTTTTTGACACGATCGTTATATCGGACGTCGTAACAAGTTGCAAACAAACCGTTCTTCCGTCTATTATCGCAGTCACGTATTTGCGGTGGCATTTAAAATTAAGATCAGTTGTTGCAAGCACGGCGCTGAATTTGGGCTCGGTCCTACGTAATCGACTGACCGATCGAGGTCTTTGGCTGGGTGTCCGGATAGGTTTTCTTGTTCGGCATTGATTTTCTTTGTGGCCGCGTCGCTTACACACTGAGCATCTGTGCTTCTGATAGGGGCATAAGTATATGAGATGCCATTCGCCATACTGCCAGCACGCCGATGGTGGTTTCTCTAAGACAGGTGCTGCTGTTCCGGTGGGTTGTCTTAACCCTTTGAGTCCTTAATTAAGTTACGTATAGCTCGACATGAACCACAAAAATGTACTTCACACAATGTAGGTCAAAGTATCGGAGTTCTGGCTATTAGCTAATTGTTGACAAGCTATTGTACGTATCCGCGCGAATACCGGCAAGAATAACGCATGCATTAAAGCAATATTACGATTTAAACAAAGTGATAATTTTAAGTACTGCCAAGGCATAAAGAGAAGCATGCCTTTGTGACATGGAAAGTGGATGATGAACGTTCCAACATGGCTGTATCGTGTTTGATGTTCACCAAACGTGGAAACGCACGCGATATCTGCTGTGGCGTAATATCTGAGGACAGTTCAATGTTGCTCAATAACTTGATCCTGATATCACTGTCAGAGTGTGAATGGAGACCGCAAATGGAAATCAGACACTTGAACTGATCTTCTGTCATAGTAGACAGTTTGACTTGTTCGCACTGGAAATTGACTCTACCAGCATATGTGATGAAATCTTCACTCTCCTATTTGACAAGTTTCATGTATTGGTATCGTTCACCGAAGATTTCCGATAGCTCCTTGAGATTTCTTGGCAAGATAAGATTTGTGTATCGGGTGTGCTCAGTTGTAGCATGCTTCCTCAACAACAGCCTGACTCGCCATGTATCATCTTTATGCTTCAGTACGATTTTGAAAATGTCCTCATATCGCTTGAATCACAATTCAAAAATCAGCCCAGCACCAGGTTCATAGTGGTGATCCCGTATACAATTGTTTTGGTTGCATTTTCTTCTGAGACTGGAATTGATGATTTAATGCTGAATTGCCGCGTCAAGCTTTCCATTATTCGTATCTGGGCTGCCTCGAACTGAGTTTGCTGTTGGTGCAGGATTGCATTTAATTTCGCTGCAGTTAGTGCGTGAGTTTCCGTCGCCAAAGTATTTCGAAGAGAACTGATAGATCGACTGAGTCGAACGCACTCTCGAAATTGAGGAACACAGCTATTGTCGGTCTGCGGTATGCGTGGCGCTGCTATAGCACCTGCCGCAGAGTGAATATATGGTCTATACAGCCACGTCCTGTTTGCTCTTCCCTAATCCGGGGTTCCCATTCCGAAGTGAGGCGATGATCGAGAACTGAAGCCAGTAATTTTGTGACCACTGGCGCTACACTAATTCCTTTGTGGTTAGTACATTAGGTGTGATTGTTCTTCTTGCATATTGCCACTATAATGAATGCACTCCAATTAGCTGGACTGGCCTATTCCGATACGGCGCTCTCGCGAAATAGATGGCAAAGTGCGGTTCGTTTCCCGTAGCTGCAGTTAGGGTCGCAATCCGATTTATCAACCATTCATTACCGGAAGACCGGACTGTTGAAGGGGAATAAGACAGCAGGACCAGGTGATCTTCATCCAGCCCCATCCATCTTTAAATTCGGGGGACCTGCTCTTGTGGGCAATTTACCTGAGTTGGTAGCGAAACTGTAGTAGGAAGAAACTATCCCAGCCGAGTGG